TGCTAAAACCAACATAAGTAGAATTTGTCTTGAAATCAAATTTAAAAGTTTTTTTTTGGAGTGTAATAACTGTTTTTAAACCTCTGAGTTTCATGAGGAGAATAAAAATGTCAAAGTGATTCAGAGAAAARGTTTTTCCTGTCTTGAAAAGAAACAAGTTTTTCTACATGAATGCAGTTTCTGCAGACTTGAAAAGTTTTGAAGCTACAGCTGAAGGAAGCAGGAAAAGAGTGTCGAGACATGAGGGTCCAACAGRCTGGACTCTGAAGAGCTTCATGTTCTCTAGAAGTGGATCAGAGCTCCTCTAAGACCTGGTGACTCGTGTGAGCTGCAGGTCAGTCAGCCCTTCTCTGCAGCTCAAACTCCAGCTTCACTACAGATTAGTTTTCAAAGAWTTTTTATACGATAAAAACAGAAAACTGTTGAATTTTAACAGGTAAATGTTTACGGAGAACTTTACTGTTTGTGTTGAATGATGGTTCAGAGGGATAACGAGACTGAAGGTCAGCTGGTTGCAGGTTCAAGTCCTGCTCCCTCCAGTTTAAGTAGATTTTTTTCACTTTCTATAGCTAAAAGCAGTAAGACAGCCCCTGGGATTGAACCAGCAACCCTGAAATCACAGTTGCAGCCAGTCCTCTTACAAGCTGCACCACATTGTCTTATACAAATTAGTCCTTTTTTTTATTTGTCTTTTAAATGTAAATTTTTGGGCGTCAGATTGTCTTGGCCGTCCGAGGACTGAAGATCTGAGAGGATCRGGAGGYCCTGAAGCCTCAGAGCTGAGAAGAAGACCGAGGTCTGAACTCATGTCCTGAACTTTGAGCAGCTCTTCAGGAACATTCAGATTTTACACATCAGTTTTTAAGGACCTCAKCTCCAAACTTTGACTTTCTYCCCCCTGGATTCAAATCCTGAACCCTGCTTTTAGAAAACCACTTTCATCCAGTTTGGTTTCTTTATTTGCTGAACACTTCAGACTCAGTTTATTACCTCAAACTAAGGAAGTTATGTTGTTGGTTTGTCTTTGAACAAAGTTCTGAACAGACTTTCCTGAACTTTTCAGGGCATTTTTTGTTGTTAAGTGATTAAATGTTAGTGATGATGTGGCACAAACACGAAGTCCATCCATCCATCCATCCATCCATTTTCTTCCACCTATCCGGGGTC